AAAAAATGATTAAATATTTATTTAAATTCTTTATTGATATTTATTTAAATGCTTTGCAAATAATTAATTTTGATTGATATTTTAATTTTCTAATTTAATTGCTTATTTTTATTATTTTATGAATGTTTAACTATTTATTCAAATTCTTTATGTATATTACTTATTTAATATTTAATTATTTCGTTTAATTTTTTTACTAACACTTATTTTCATCATTTATTTAATATTTTAATTGCTTATTTTAATTATTTTACTAACACTTAATTTAATTAATTATTTTTAATTAATGTTTAAATACTTTTTTTAATTCTTTATGCATATTGCTTATTTAATATTTACAGATTTATTTTAATTGATTTGCAGAAATTTAATTTGATTGATATTTTAATTTTCTAATTTAATTACTTATTTATTATTTTACAGATGTTTAAATATTTATTTAAGTTCTTTATGTATTAAACTTATTTAATATTTAATTATATCTTTTAATTTTCTAATTTAATTACTTATTTATTATTTTACAGATGTTTAAATATTTATTTAAGTTCTTTATGTATTAAACTTATTTAATATTTAATTATATCTTTTAATTTTTTTACTATTACTTAACATAAAATAAGTAATTAAAACTAAATTGGAAAATAATAAATATTTAGATAAATAATAAAACATTTATATTAAGCATTTCAAAGAAATAATTTTAAATACATAATATACATTAAAATTAAACAATTCAAATAATAATTAAATATTAGACAACACAATATAAGAATTAAAATAAATAGTTAACTTAAAAAATTAAAGGAAATAAATAAATAAGAAATTTAAAAAAAAAAATTGGGCCTCTGGCAGTCGACCCAGATGACTAGGCCGTCTGGGCGCCAGGCAGCCCAGTCAACTGGGCGTCCAGGCGGCCCAGTCAACTGGGCTGACTGGCCCAGACGGCCCAGTCGACCCAGTCAACTGGGCGCCCAGACGGCCCAGTCAACTGGGCGCCCAGACGGCCCAGTTGACCCAGACGGCCCAGTCAACTGGCGCCCAGACGGCCCAGACGACCCAGTCAACTGGGCCGTCTGGGTGAGTCTGGGTCATCTGGGCATGCCTAATCGGTCCAATCAGCTGGGCTTACGTCTCCTTTGTGGAGATCGCCGGAAAACTCCATTTTCGACGATCTCTACTCCATTTTCCTCCTTCCAAACTATTATGCTTACCCAAAAATTATGTATTTTTCCAAAAATCAACACATGTATATAAAATCATGTTTTTTTTTTCCAAAAATCAACATAAAAACTTTAAATATGGGTCGTCTATTTTTTCTTTTTTATCAGTGCTACAGTAATTTTTCTCTTTCCTTACTATCTTCTCTTTCTTCTTTAAATAGTAAGGGTAAATTTGGATTTCTCTTGATTTTCAATATTTTTAACATTTTGCTTTTTTTTTTTTTTTAATTGGTCAAAGGCCTATTTGAAAAACTGGCCGGGTGATTTTCAATATTTTTAACATTTTGCTTTTTTTTTTTTTTTAATTGGTTAAAGGCCTCTTTGAAAAACTGGCCGGGTGATTTTCAATATTTTTAACATTTTGCTTTTTTTTTTTTTTTTAATTGGTTAAAGGCCTCTTTGAAAAACTGGCCGGGTCAACCGGCTGTTGGCCACTAATTCCTCCCCTCTATCTGTGATTGCCTGTTTTCGTCCGGTGTTCTAACTGAGTCGCTCGTTGAGTTGCACCAACGTTATTGTCGGCATCATTATTTAATAATTTATACATAGTCGATAGTCTTCTTTCCAATATTCCTCTTTTTCTAGGTTTTTCTCGAGGGTTTTTAGTTTAATATTATTAGTTTGTGATTGGGATGGAATCGGAGGATGATATGCAGGATGCGTACGAATTGGCGTCGGCGGAGGAGGAAGACTATTACAGCGGCGGTGATGACGATGGATATGCTGCAGAAGACTACAGCTGTGGGTACGGCTATGGTGATTGTGATGATGACGACACTGGTGATTATGAGTTCATGTCCAATGACTCTGATGCAGATGAAGTTTCCGCTAGTCGTGCACAGGTTTGAATGTGAATTCTTGAAATGATTAACATTCATGTTGTCTTGTCGAGGGTGCTGGGTAATTCCTCGAATTGATTTATAAGAGTCTAATTGTGAGTGTAATTTGGTCGATAAGAGCCTAATTGTATGTATTGGCGCACAATTTCTGTGGATTATTGGAATTGTTGGAATCTGGTACTGTGTTTTCAGATTGATGGCTTAGATATTCCTTTGAGAAATTTTTGAAATATCAGAAAAGATCAAAAGAGAATTAACAGTAGAAGTAACGCGTGAACTTATATCCAAATTTGGAGAGAACCCTGGAGATTCCTCCATGTGAAAAACACCAAAACCGCCAAGAGACTCCGCTTTTCTCTCTTTTCTCACTTGTATTGGAATCTCTATTGTTTTATACACGTGTTTGAATAGCCATCTCACCCCTGTCTGTTTTTTCTTTATTTGACATGTGACAAAGACTATCTACATAAGGATACATTTAATTTTCCATTTAGATGAGAAATGAAGGAGATAGATTTTGTACGACCTTTTTGAATACAATCCAAATAAGTGACTTATATGAGCAAGTAAATTCATATGAACATTCTGATTTAGGATTTTACCTCTCATCTGAAATAAGTGACTTATATGAGCAAATAAATTAATTTATTTTGGTTTCTCTTATGTATTCTGCTGGAATTATGTGTTACTGTGCATGTTTCAGAAGAATTATACCGTCTTGAAGGAAGAAGACATACGGAAAATTCAAGGGGAAGATATTATGAGAATCTCTAATGTTCTCTCCATTTCCAGAGAAGCAGCATGCATACTGTTGCGCTGCTATAATTGGTAATATATTTGCTTCTTGATTTTTTTAACAATCTGGATTGGTAATATATTGCATAAAACTTCCATTTTGGGCTCTGGTCAAGACAATTTCTTTCGAGCAACTAACTTGTATACGTACTTTGAGCCTGTGACTGTATAGTAATATTTACAGTCTTTCATGGGACTATAGCAGCAGTCATTAGCTGCTTTCTGCAAGATATTATCTTGCATTATGGTTTCCTTTCTCTTTCGACAATATCTTCTATTAATTTATTATGCAGGAATGTGAATGACGTGCATGAAGAATGGTTTGCTGATGAAGGACGAGTCCGTAAAACTGTTGGTTTACTGGAGAATCCGGTGGTTCAATTTTTGAATGCTAAGGAAGTAAGTATCAATTTCTTGACAGTGCATATGCATAATCTTATCCACTATACCACCTTTCCCACATGCATTGGCATTTGTGTTTAAAATCTTTCCTGGCAGGTGACTTGTGGCATCTGTTTTGACAACTACACTCCTGAGCTGGTACATTCTGCAGTGTGTGGCCATCCTTTCTGTGACTCGTGCTGGAGAGGTTTGTCTACAAACTTCACCCGAGCAAAGCATCAATATGGAGTTACACAGCTACACACTTTGACCTACGTTTTTATTAAAATCAGTTTTGCTTTAATTATAATTGCTTTATATAGCTGTGCTACTTCTGTTGATTAATTTTGTTTTTGTGGATCTGGTCTGCATCTATTCATACTGCCATATTTCTATTGCATAAAACCTCAATTAGCTGGAGTATATCATTATAGGACCATTGATTACTCTTACCCCTACCCATCAAACCGGTTTCATGGCTGATATAACTAATACTTTGCTAAATGTTGAGAATAAGGTTCTCCTTGAGAAGGTTAACTCTTACATCAAAAAATTTGACAATCTTGTTAGTTTATCTGATAGCTTGGGGTGAATAACTTGTCTTGTTACCACTTCCTTGTTTAACTCATAACTTAAATTTATGTGTTTCTGAATTTCACCTATTCCCCATGTAATTAAGAATAAAACAACCGAAGGACTCTCGGTTCAGCCGCAAGCAATGTTTTCTCTTAATATTTTAGAAATTACATTAGTAGTCCTTCAGTTTTCGTGTTTAAGGATTGCTTGTCTATCTTTTGATAGTAGTGATGACAGATATTTGTAGCATGATTAGAATGTCTTTTTTATGACAGTGGTTTTTGATAATATTAGTTCAACCAGCATAAATGCTATATTTCAACATGTTTTGTTATATCCTGTGCAACATTTCAACTAGGATTGGATACTGGCGCACCTGCAACACTCTACCATGGTTATTTTCTTTCTTTATTAGAAGTTGATGCAGAATGAAAGGATGATTCCTGCAGAGTACTTAGAAACAGCAAAATAGCACAACCAGCAAGAAGAATTCCAGCGAGAAGAAGAAGAAGAAGGCAGCAAGAAGGGGAAAGGACCGAAGAGAAAGGGGGGAGAACCGGAGAAGAAAACTAGGGGAGATAGGGGAGAAGCCAAGGAGAAAACGGCTGGCTGCAAGCCAAAATCAAATTTCAATTCTAATTCATCATCGTCTCTAATTAGTTTACATTACGAACCATAAATAGAAGAATGCAAACCTAAGGCATAAGAGGCTTGGGCCAAGCCCAACTAAACATAAGTAAAATAGTAAGTCCAACTATGAAATAAAAGATGTCCTCATCAACTCTCCCAGTGTGGGAAGAAAATTCGACCCTGTCGAGTGAACTAAACACAGAAGGCTGCAGTTGATCTGATACCCCAAATACTCCAAGTCAAACCATGGGGGATGATCTTTCTGACGAACCAAATATCGAAATTCCACAAATGATGACAACGCCAATTGCAGATAACTCGCAAAAATATGAGCTGACCAAGATAACCTAGGCGAATGAGGATTTTGCTGACTCTTATAAAGCTCTAATGAATTTGGCTCACACCGCTGAAGTCTCTCTTTGGGAATCCATTCACCGTCAGAATCAAGTCGATACATCCAACGAACAAGAAAGCACTGAATCTCTCTATGATTGGTGAACACAATCTGTTCATCTAAAATAACATCAATTTTATTTTTGTGTGCCATGATAGGTGGGTTGAAGTAGACATAGCAAAAGATTCAGTGTGGGAATTCTCATGTGGAGGTAGAAACGAGTCATCAGAGGGGTTAAAATAGCCTTTGTAAGCATCGAAGTCCATAACAAATAAAATAGGGTGGTGGTCATAATGTGATAAAAGGTCATTGACATATACATTTAGACCAACATGCTTTGAAATTTTAAAAGGACCAGCATTATGAGCTTACAATATAACATAATCCCCAATATCAAATTCAAAATGTTGTTATGCCAATTAGCTCGAGGTTTATATAATGCGTTACTTGCTTCAAATTGTTTATTGATCTCAATATGCAAGTTATGAAAATGTGATACAACTACCTCAACTGACATAAATACACTAGCATGTGGGTACATGAGAATAAGGTCTAAAGGTTTCCTAGGTTCACAACTATGAATAACTTCAAAGGGATTTAGACCTAAAGACCAGTTCACAGGATTGTTATATGTAATTTGAACAAGTGGAGGGATCAAGTCCAAATTCCCAAGATTTTTCTGGACTAGAGATGGTAATAAATTGCTAGGACTTTGGTTAGCAATTTCATTTTGACCATCAGTTCGAGGTTGGTCAGTAGTGGAGAATTTCGATTTAGTACTAACCACAGGCGACTGGATTCTCCAATGGTGAATAGTGAAATCATCAAACTCTTTGAGTTGGTTAAGGATATGACATATAACATGTGATCGAGAATTGTCGGTATAGTTTCTAAAGTCTCGGGAAGGGTCTGGATTCTATCTAAGGAAGTGTCCTCACTATCATCCAAGTCATCAAAATCTTCAAGTTTAGGTTCATAGACTAGATCTTCTAATGGCTCATCTATTGCATTCTTTCGTTCTTCCATGACTAAGGTTCAATTAGGACATTTGGAAGAAATGTGGCCAAAGACCTTACAGCTGATGCACAACAAATGAAAAGAAGTCCTTGGAGTTTCAAAAATTTTACCCTTATTTTCAAAGATTGGAAGAATATTAGACGAGGGAGGTCCTAAAAGGAACTTAATGGGAGGAAGTGGAGCCAATGAAATAGAGGGACGATTGTCAATACGCCTTCTATATGGAGAAGAAGGTGTTGGACTATCACGACCTTTACAATTATTTTTCCAAATGGGAGGAACATTGGATGGGGAAGACTTTATGATAAGACTTATGGTGAGGTGGAGCTAATGGGATGGGTGAATGACGATGACCACGCTTTTCATATGGAGTACTAATAATCAACTCATAATTTCGAGCTAAAGAGTAAGCTTGATTAAGAGTAGTGACACCTCGAAACAAAAGTTCACACCTAAGATCATCTCTCAAACCTTGGCTAAACCTACTCAAAGTCGCGGTCTCATCCTCAATGAAATGTCATTTGGTTCGAAATTCCTCAAATTGTGTGATATACTCCGTCACTAGTTGATTTCCTTGTTTAAGGGCATTCCATTGAGTAAAAATTTCAAAATTATTTCGTTCTCACTCACGACCCTGATCCGTACCCCTACGATCGTGTCTAAAGCATTTTTTTTATCACCATGTTGATGATGATAATGTCTATTATGGGACACTTTAGATTTATGGACGTCGGTTGAAATAGGGGATTTGTTTAAAGTTGTTCAAATTAGCAGATAGAGCCTTACTCTCTTCAAGAGTAGCAGTCATTTGAGTTTGGATAGCAGCTATTTGTTGAATAAGTACATCAAATTGTGAGGGGTCAATATTTAAGGTACTGGAACTAGAAGTGATAGGACGACCACTATGCAACTATATGCATTGTAATAGCAACTAAATGATGTGCAATAGAGATATCAATAAACAAAAGTGCAAGTAATGGAAAATAACAATTTGAGCATTTTATCATCTTTTTTTTTTTTTTAATAAATTTTGAGATTAAAATTATATACAACAAGCTGGTACTGCTGGTATATGTAAAATAATAAAGCAATGGTCAAATACTAGTCAAAACCTGATCACGTAAAATAAGCAGGTTAAAGTGAGATTTAACGAGGTTAATGGATCCAATTACGTGAGTTTAGATAAAAATAGATCAGCAGCAGAACAAAAATTTAATTGATGCAATTTCAAAATGAAATAGTAATATAAACCAATAATAAATAAAAACAAGAACTTTCCTTTCGTTCGTCGAAGTAGCCAAGCCAGATCAACCAGAATAAAAGATGTACCTGTAAATAATAGGAAAGAAGTTTCTTTTTTTTTCTTTTCTTTTCTTTTCATTTTTTTTTTAAAAACTAAACTTGTATTATAATATCAGGCCCAAATTACAGCAAAAATGAAAATCAAATTCTAGGTCCACAATATCAAAATCCAGAGTACTAATCATGGCCCAATTGAAAAGGCCCATGTTGAAAATCATATACCCAAAATATGCCGAATTGAAAAACGACTGCCCACTGTTAGAAGAGGCGACGGCAGTTGCAGTGACAGGAGTTCGACGACCTTGGGAGTCATGAGTGGAGGCGGTGTTCGCGAGTTGAGTGCTCCAAGCAGTCGCTGGTGGCTCGAAATCAAGTAGGCGATGGCACAATTTCTGGTTGCTGTAATTTCGGGTGGTGGGGCTTTATTGGGGTGTTGAATCTATTGTTGGCGTCGTGACTGTGGTTGGGTTATGGGTATTATATGTCCGTTGTTAGATTTCACAGTAGCGGGTTTGGATTTTCTTTATGTGAGCGATTGGGTTGCTGTTAATGGATGCCGGATGTTAAGAGACGACTTTTTTTAAACAGTTAATTATGGGCCGATTAGTGGTTGGTTGGTTGTTGGTCGTGGGGCATAGATTGGTTGTGTAGTGGGCTGATTGTTGTAGTGGATTTGGGAAAATGACAGGAAGAATTTTTGAATTGTAGCTAAAGTATTTGGGATGCAGATTGATGACAAACTCTAGGTTTAGCTCTAATACCAATTTGATGCTAAAGGAAAGGATGATTCCTGCAGAGTACTTAGAAACAGCAAAATATTACAACCAGCAAGAAAAATTCCAGTGAGAAGAAGAAGGCAGCAAGAAGAGGAAAGGACCGGAGAGAAAGGGAGGAGAATCGGAGAAGAAAACCAGGGGAGATTGGGGAGAAGCCAGGGAGAAAACGGCTGGCTGCAAGCCAAAACCAAATTTCAATTCTAATTCATCATCTTCTCTGATCAATTTACATTACGAACCATAAATAGAAGAATGCAAACCTAAGGCATAAGAGGCTTGGGCCAAGCCCATGTAATACAAGCCCAACTAAACATAAGTAAAATAGTAAGTCTAACTATAAAATAAAAGATGTCCTCATCAGAAGTATTATATATTTTTAACTTAAAATTATTTTTTTAAATAACAAATAGGTATTTATATTTAAATGATTTTAACAAGAAAAAATTAATAACAACTATATAAATGATGAATTTTAAAGAATTTAATCAACGCTTCGACGACATGTCTTGTCAGTGTTTTTTTGAAAAATCACGTGTCGGTATGTCGGACACGTGTTGTGTTGGATATATCATAGGTTATATCTAAAGATTTTACGTACAATGATTTGATGTCAAATTGATGAATTTTATGTAGTATCTCCCTCTATAGAACTTAGTCAAATACCTTTATGCTTTAATTGATCCAAAACAAAAATAATATTTTTTGGAAGTTGTATAATGGATATAGCGCCTTGAATTTTTGCCATGTCATAGAAAGAACTAAGCCAAACCGATGTGATAGCAACATGGTCAGAGTAAGAAAATTAGTATATCTAATTTCATAGTTGATAGGAGATGTGGGTAATCCCTCAATTTTATAATGGATTATGGCAGTTTCTTAGTTTATGCAAAAACAAATATTGAATATTTTATGGTTGGCCATGGCAGATGTTCATTGGAGGGTTTGTCTAGAATAATGGTTCTTATTATGGTTTTATGTTTGTGATTGTGTTGGCACTTCTGTTGTAATTAATATTTGGACTGATTCTCACCTTTTATTTGTGGGTTGGACAAGTGGAGGCTTTTGTGGTGATAGTGTTGGTTATGAAGGATTCATCGGGGATTATACGGTGTTCTTACGAATCACGAAATTTCCAAAATGCAATAATTCTGCCTCAGTGACATACTTGAGTTCAACACTAATATCATGCTTTAGGATATATAGTTGACACTCCTTTAGTTTTTCTGGACCAGTGTTTAGAAGAATCTTTACAGTGAACGTCTGTTCAACTGTTATACGATGGGCACACTGAAGGCATGTGGAATACTCTAAACACTGTCTTTTTTAAGTATGTTAATAATCTAATGAAGGGATGAACAAATAGGAGTATCGCACTTGACAGTCAACATGGTAGATCAGTAGCTTACGTACTATAGATAAATAATACTTTGTACATTGGATAAGAAGCGTCTACCTGCGCTGGGAGGAGTGCCAGTGTTTTAAGCGTCAGGCACACCAGGTGGCTGGTCTATTTTCCCTTTTTTTATTTTTGGTTCCAAATACAACGTCGACAGGCATATCTATTTTAAAATGGAAAAGGAGAAATTAACTACGAATAATAGAAACTAAAAAGGAAAAAAAAATACCCAGAGAAGCTAACCTTTAATGAAATATCAGAGATGGATTTTGGTGATGATATCTGAAGATTTATCTATTTGAGAAGAGGAAGCCTAGGATATGGGAGAAGACGTGATGCCATCGCTTAGGACAAAGCAGTGAAAAGCTAAAACATTGTAATAACATGTTACTGAAATTTTTTTCATAACCATTAAAAAGGCATAAAAGACCCCCATTAGTTATTGTTAAAATATGTTGGATATGTTTTATTTGCTCGATGTAAGTCAGTATTCATTGCCTAAGGTGAATGTTAGCTTATGCTAACATTGAACATAACCTAAAAAATGAGTGTTCATACTTCACTGCAAAAGACCAAAAAAACTGTTCCTCTTCCTCAAAAGAATTGAAGTAACCATTCTAATGAACATTACTATTTCAATCAAGGTTCCTTTAAAGTGTCAGTTTTCTGGCCCCGTGGGATTAGTCGAAGTACACGTAAGTTGGTCCGGACACCCATGGTTATAAAAAAAAAAAAAAAGTGTATGTTTTCTGCTTTTATGAAAAATCATGCGTCAACGTGTCCATTTAGTGCTTCTTAGGTACATTGATAAGGATGAGAAGTTTTGTGTTTATTATGTGCTGTAGATGCTCCCCAATGGTCACCAGTTCGAGTTCCGTCAGGGCCATTGAGGTGAGTACTCGACTGTAAACTTTAGGGCCCTGTGGGATTAGTTGAGGTGCGCGTAAGTTGGTCCGGACACCCATAGTTATCAATATATATATAGATGGCCCTGGATGCTTGACACTAAGATGTCCTGGTCCATCTTGTGGGGCTGCTATTGGCCAAGATATGATTGATATGTTGGCATCTGATGAAGATAAGGAGAAGTATTTTCATTACCTTCTGAGATCTTTTGTTGAAGACAGCCGAAAGGTAGGTAGAGCTTTTCCAAATCCTCCATTCTAGTATTCAGAAACTTTTTCCAATTGTTTTAGAAAATAGAATCCTACCCGTGATAAAGGTAAAACAAGATTTTGTGTACTCTTTTTGTTATTGAAGTTGACTTAAAAATTCACTGCTAGGTGCTTCATGAATTGCCCCCCTTCTAGATTGTATTGTATAAAATGACTTGGACTCAGCAGCTTTCCTGCCATTATCTGATTTTATACACACATAATTACATGTATGCACGGGAGTTTAAGGATATTTCATATTCAATGTGAGCTTCAGAGATCCATCGTACTTAAAGAAAATTGATTCATTAGTGAGCACATGAAAATCTTGCTTCAAGACCCTGTATGAGACAGTATCTTCACTTGCAGCTGCTATAACTTTGCAAGATATGCCATCGCCGCTTGAAGATGATACAATTATTCTAATGTGGCTTGTTTTCCTCAGTCCTTGCTTATGGTCTGTACTAACGTGGGTGACTATTTAATTTTTTCTGTATGCTTGTTGACAGACCAAGTGGTGTCCTGCCCCGGATTGTGATTGTGCAATTGAATTCGTTATTGGGAGTGGAAACTATGATGTCACTTGCAGCTGTTCGTATAGCTTCTGTTGGAATGTAAGTTGGACTGTATGAATTGTCATCTTGTTTTTTTGTTGATGTAATTTCCTTTTGTTGAGCATTATGAGCTCGTTTATCAGTGTATAGAGGAAGCTCATCGTCCAGTGGACTGCGAAACAGTGGCCAAGTGGATTTTGAAGAACAGTGCTGAGTCAGAAAACATGAATTGGTAGAGTATATTCTTTGGCAGATGAATTGTTTTGAATGAATTAATCATATTTCTAGTAGGGTTTGATGGTTTCCTCATATATATTGTCACTAAAACCAATTTAAAGTGAACTCAGTTCATGACATCACATAAATGAAGTTGCTGGTATATTGTTGAAGTTTAGCCAATCTTTAATATGTTTTTACCTCAAGATTTTTTGTTTCTGCACTTCAATTTCTGGGTCATTTGAACAACTTTTTGGCTTCATCTGTTGCTTATTAGTTTGAATAGTGAAATTTTGAGTTCCACTGTATTGTTGCTGTACAAAGTGTGAAATGCTAGGTGTATTATTTCAAGTAAGGCAAATTATACATTTTTCAGACTATTAGGATGTAGATGGTATCTTTGAAGCACCAAATACTGACTTCTTTTTTCAAGGGAATGGATGTAATTTTATAATATGGTGGGCATTTTTGGTATCTTGGTGTCTTACTACCATGCTCATATTGATTTTGTCATTTTCAGGATATTGGCCAACTCCAAACCTTGTCCGAAGTGCAAGCGTCCAATTGAAAAGAACCAAGGTTGTATGCACATGACTTGCACTCCACCGTGCAAATTTGAATTTTGCTGGTATACTTCTGTAATAGTATTATTAAATCGAGCTCTTGTTATGAAATAAATTTCTTTCTTGCAATCTTTGTGGTTTTGCTGAATCTCTTTGCTAGGCTTTTGCTGCCCTGCTAATGCAGAAACTTGTAGATTATTTAAGTGGTGTTTTCATTGTTTTGCAGGCTATGTCTTGGTGCATGGATAGACCATGGTGAGAGAACGGGAGGATTTTATGCATGCAACCGTTATGACTCAGCAAAGCAAGAGGGAGTGGTATGACTTTGGGGGATATTGATCATTTGTTTAGTGTTTTATGTTACAGATTATTGTACCAAGTCCTTTTCCATTGTTTTTTAAAACAATCCTTTCCTATCTACATTTTCTAATTGTGTACCCAGTATGATGACACTGAGAGGAGGAGAGAGATGGCCAAGAACTCTTTGGAAAGATACACTCATTATTACGAGCGGTGGGCTTCCAACCAACTGGTATGCCAATTGATAGCCTTGTCTAATTATTGGTTGGTTTTCTGCTTCTTGAGGCAATTCTATTTCTACTTGCACCAGTTCGGAGGCTTTCTAAATACTACCGTAAACTTAATAATTTTTTTGATTATTCTTTACTGGGAATCATGAGCACTTTTTTTGTTATTACACTACCATAGCTAGCACTTCGTTTCCTCATTTACTTATGATATTCCGAACCCCTCTTATCCGTGTGAACTATTGGTTAATCTATATCCTATTTGTAGAATGGATGTGTCCCACTGATTTTAACCCTATGAGAGGCCTTGGCTTTATATGTAATTTGAACTTTCTACCTATATATATCTGTACTTAGCATTGGATATATGTGGGAATTATAATTGGAGTGTGTTTATTTTTATATTTCATAGCCATGGACATATTTTGCTGTTATTATAATAGACCATGATTAAATTAGGCCATTGGCTATTATTTACTTGAAGAGACAAGTTCGTAATAAAGTAAAATGGAGTAAAGTGGGGAATTTATCTTATCCTTGGAGACAAAGGCATAACTATTACTGTGCAAAAACATCAATGATGCTCTTATATCTGAACTTTTTATTTTTTATTTATTTATTATTATTATTATTATTTTTTTTTTTTTTGTAGAGAATTTTTGGATTTTGGAAATTCAGATTCACGGAGAGAAATTAAATGGATGTTGCGTTTTAATTTTCATAAGAATGATAAGATTTTGTAGAGGTTTGCTTTGCTGTCAAGCATATGATATATTTGGATGAAAAGAAATGATGGAATTTTTGCTGACCAATATCATCCTGTCGTCTTTCATTCGTATCTGAGTGATTTTTTCGTGTTTTTGCTCTGAAGCATTGGGTCCATGGTTCTCCTTGTTTCTTCGGGAACTCATTAAGGCATAAAATTGAAATGGAAGGCTTGGTTGCTAGGTTTTAATATTTTTATGTCAAATTCATTTGAGTTAGAAGATATATTGTTACCTAAGCACTCTCTTCTCTCTCTCTCTCTCCTTTTTTTTTTCTTTTTTTTTTTGCATAAATGAACTCTATTATCAAAAAGTCTTTGGATGGATGGGAAAAGATTGTATATTTGGCGATTTTGACCTGAAACATTCGTTGGTCTTCTTGAGATCAATTGCAAAGTGATTTATTTTATTTAGTGTATTTCATGGTGGTTAATAAATTTCATTCCAGTCCCAATGTCAATCTGACTCGCAGAGATCTTTATTCTGTATGTTTTCAATTGCCTCTTATTTATTATCTATCATTTGATGATGTTGATCTTTGTGAGAGCTTCTCTTAATATGAGCCTTGAGTGAAATATAGATTGTTGTGAGTGGTCAATCAATTATGATTTTCATTGCCACTTAGTTTCATCTTTTCCTCTTTCATTACCTGATTTTCTTTTCAATTCTGTGCAGTCACGGCAAAAGGCATTGGCGGATCTACAGCAAATGCAAAGTGTTCATGTAAGGATAACTGTTCCACATTATTTTGAAAGTTTAGTTTTGTTACGTTAGTGTCTCCGAGATGATGGTTTAGATGGAAGAGCCATTTGTTTTAAGCAGCTAACTGATTATATATTTTCCTTTGGTTCGCTGTTGGATTTTTTTTTTTTTTTTGGTTTGGCTTAATTCTGGGGCATCCATACTCACTTTGTTGGTCCCCATGTTTCTAACTCTATATATTTCAAAAATTCATAGTTATCTTGCATCTTGATATATAATTACGTTCTAAGAATGCATTAGCTGGATCATGACTCACTGCTCTCTGAAGTGATTCATAGCCTTATAGTATCTTCTCAGTTGGAATCTGATTAATGTGGTCTTCGGCTGCCTAAAATTAAATTTCCTTCTTGATTCATCTATTAATTTTCTTGTTGTGATCACTTTTTGTCTAGTGTCAATGTCAATTTCCACCGAGAATCTTGAGAAGTTACACTGCTGCAAAAAGGGGGGGCGGGGAATTTTCCTATGGACATTACATTCTTAAGTCACTATTTGACAATCAATTAGAGAGAATTATTGATGCACTGGAATATTTCGCAGTGCAATTTTATTTTATTTATTTATTTATTTATTTTTAGTTTTTGTCTTAACTGAAGGATTTGTAGGATGTCAATTTGGTTTCTAATAAGGAGGCGAATCCATTTTGCTTCCTTATCTTCAGTGTAAACCTGTCTTCTCATTAGAGGATGATGTTTTACGTGGGTGAACTTCTATACGCAACATTTCTGGTTAACTTTTTCTTGCTATTTGGATACATTTAAGAGTTGTTTTTTTGTTCTTTCCAGCTTGAGAAGCTTAGCGAAGTACAATCCCAACCTGAGTCGCAAATGAAGTTCATTATTGAAGCCTGGCAACAGGTAAAAATTTACTACTAGTTCTGTAAGTTCAGACATATTTAATATTAGTTTAGGAATTGCTTGATCTGCCATTTTGTTTTTGAAAATGAAACTGATCTTCACTCTCTGGAGTGACTTTTGTGATGCTCAATTTACATCACTCATGGAATAAATTACTAAATTTATAGATAGACGATGGGGTATGTTTGGACAACATGTTTCATCCGAAGGTTTTTATTTGTTGCTACGTCCAACAGTGTGGAAACTGGACGTGAGTTAAGCTGAACTTCTATCAGCTTATTATGTTATGGGTCTATGGATGTTCAGGGAAGATAACGTCTGGGAAAATTTGCTGGAGGAAATAAAAGCATATCATTCTTTTTTTTTTTTTTCCACCTGAACAAGAGGGATACTTATAATGAAATTCTGGAAAAGCTCGATTGAAATCATCACGTGCCAGGCAAACAATGTGTGGAGTTACATTTAAGAAATGGGGACCCAGTGTAATTTGGACTAGTATCCTTGTCATTAATAAAATATGGTTTTTCTGTTTGTATTATCTTTCTTCTGTAATAAATAGATCTTGTTTTCAGTGGTACCAGGCCAAGCTTGAATGTTTCTTTGATTGTGTGGTAAATGTGGTAGGGTAAATGATAAAAGACTAGGGAAACTTAAAAATCAGGTTACTCTCCGATCAGGACTCATCTATTTTGACTACAAGTCCTAATTAAAGCAAATACCTAATATAATCTAATCAATGCTTGTTTGCTATGAACATTTTACCTTTAACACTTTTTAAGAACCAAAATATTCATAAATGTAAAACATAAAAAGATACCGATAATCAAATTGCCAGTTGCTTCCCAAAGTAAAACGACACTTAAGTTTCATTCTAAAGATGGTGTATTTTAACAAATCCAACTAAAGATAGAGTTCTAGGTTCGCCCTTCTGTGCATATGGTCGCAACTGTCTCCTAGCTTTTTCTGAGTTTTATAATGTCTTCTGTGGTTTAGTTTGACAGTATTTATGGTTTTCCTCAGGCATGTTTAATGAAGATAATCATGACATTATTCTTCAATATGTTTGCAGATAGTTGAATGTAGGAGGGTACTAAAATGGACCTACGCATATGGATACTATCTACCTGAGTATGAACCCACTAAGAAGCAGTTTTTTGAATATATGCAAGGTATCATGTTCTCTCTGACCGTTTGAAGCTCTCTAGATGGTACGTGCAAGCTTTATTACTAGTGCTGTTCTAATTGCATTTTTACATATGCCATATATGTAGGTGAAGCAGAAACTGGTTTGGAGAGGCTTCATCAGTGTGCAGAGGAGGAGCTGCAGACTTACCTTAATGCTGAATGCCCATCAAAAGACTTCAATGACTTCCGCACAAAACTTGCTGGTCTGACAAGGTAATCTCTGCTTAATTCAAGTTTTCATAGAGAGTCTGGTAATCCTCAATGGTTTCCCTGTCATTTTTTCAGTGTAACTCGGAATTACTTTGAAAACTTGGTTAAAGCATTAGAGAACGGTCTTGCTGATGTTGACTCTCAAGAAGCATCTAGTAAGACCACCTCAAAGAGCATAGCAGGGAGCAGTAAGGGAAAAGGTGGAAGGGGAAAGGGATCTTCCTGGACTGGAAACACGGATGATTCAGGTAATTGGGCATGTGATCATTGTACGTACATGAACTTGCAATCTGCAACTACATGCCTCATGTGCAACCACCATCGTTGAGACAGGGACTTTGCTGACAAAAACCACCTTCCTAAAGCATACAAAGGTTGTTGAAAGAGAAATTTACAGATTCTCTGCGTCAAGCTTGCTATGATTGGGAGATGCTAGAAATATTGAAAAGAAATTGGAGAAATAGCACCCATTTTGTATGTTTCAGGTTTATTTGTATATTATCTGGTTTGGGGGTTTTGTGAATGTGGTTCTTGTAAATAATTTTTCCATCGGGCCTGTCAATGAGGTTACATTCTTGAGCTCTGATCTAGATGATTTGATTTCCTTTCATTACACAAGCACGAGAAGGCCTCATCTAAGGCATCTTTCATTCTCCGTCTTGAATGACAGTTAATAATAGTTGGTTTTGTACTTCGTAGACCTGTCAAATGCACCATTTATACCGAATCTTGAATAATAGCTAGTTGTGTGTACTTAAATTCGTGCTTCTCATGTTTTTTCTGGGTGTGGTTTCTTGCATATACGGTGCTTATACTTCCAAACTTGGTCTTTGGAAGCAGTGTTATCACCTAACCTGCAATTTGCATGGTCTGTGGAACTTGATTTCTTATTGGGCGCCAAAAATTTTACTTATTTTGAAAGTAATTTTTACCTTGATCTTGAATGGACAACTTTTTTTCTTACAAGTAAATAAGAAAAGTATCCAATTATGTTTGGAAACAAAGTTTAATCAAAGGCCTCTTTTTAGCTGAACGTGACAACTCACACCAGAGGGTACGGTAATCAGTTAATTCTATGCTTCTGTACTGTACTGTACTGTGAAACATTAACTGCGGGACTTTAGAGATTCACTTCATAAGAGAATTTACTTCTGAATTTTTATTTGCGTAGTGCCTTCAGTAGCCGCATAAATGTTGATATCCCTCGTAAATTGATAAACAAATTGAGTAAGCATTCCAATACAAAGCACTAAATATAAAAAAAAAAAAAAAATTATTACAAAAATGTGAAGGTCGTATTTTCATATAACAAATAAATCAAGAAATAATCTATTAGTGGTATAAAGTAATTGATATACATAAACACCAGTTAACAGAACTGAAGAGGTAGTAGACACCACCTCTTTCTACGCGCTCCTTCAAGAATAAATTTCCATACACGTATCAAATGAAATGAAGCCATTATCATGTGACGACATTTCTCAAAAGTGTAATAACGGAGCGCTTGCATTTTATTTTTGTAAGTGATACTGCTTGATTGCCTGTTCTGTATCCTCTGGTAAATATGCTGCAAAGAAGAGCAAAGGAACCACCAGCAACAAGATTTAGTCGAATTAGTAGAAGTGCTGCACATGTACGGGAAGCATTACGAGTTCGTTTGTCAATCTTCCTGTTTATTTAGGGTAGCATTATTGTAAAATCAGATTACATATATATTTGGCATAGATTATTATAGTCAAAAAATTCATATTCAAACAGCTGCAGCAAATGGCCGCATCAGTGATATTTCAACAATCAGTTATTTGATAATCTCATGCCTGCAACTTCTTGTACGGAAGCCACAACTAGACCAAAGAGCATAAGCTACTTAAGAAGTTTTATGGCTTAATAGAGTATTTCTTCTTTTTCACAGTTTGTTGTAATACTATAAATATGATTCTCCTCCTAATTTTAAGACATTATACAAATCTCTCTCTTCATATTTCTGTCTCAATTACTTCTATGGTTTCTATTTTCTAACACAGTATTGGAGGGAGTTCAATCCAATCTGCAGTAAACTAGCCTCTTTACTTTCATTCTCTAGACCAATTGAAAATTTGAGGTATCAGTTGATGTAAAGACCAATTGAATATGTTTGATTTGATATAAACCCATTTTGAGATCAGTTGACACTAGACTATTTAATTTCAATTACAGTAATTGTTCAAACTCTTGAATTAATTGATTTCTTCCTTGTGTTAACAAGATTGTATATCATTCGAAAGACACCTGGATCATATCATTCTTATTAAATTTTCTTAATAATGCGCACCATGAAGGGGGATGTCAGATATAAAAATTTGAAATATGCATATAGCCAAACTATTAATTTAAAAGATGAAAATATTAAGTGCAGCTACATACTCTCAGGGAACTTAAATGGGAAGAAGAGGCTGTCTTTCATCAGTTGCCACCCGATGACTAGTCTGGAAAAATGAAAACAGAAAATAAACAAGGGAATCATGTATTCAGAGAGAGAGAAAGAGAGAAAGCCACGTGAATATTGATCCAAATGACTGGTGATGAATCATACCTCCTCATTTGCTCCAGCTGTCATATTTATGAAGGACTCTCTCGACCTGGTAGGAGGGTAGAGTAGGCGAAAATAAATTGCTGTGAGTATAGAATTGTTGGGAAAAGAAAAAGCTAAACGCTGTTATACTATCATTATTTTTCTAACTGATAGCTATATGTGTGTTTAAGATGTCGAAAAACAAATACCTATTATTATCCTGTACATCCACTCTCTCCAGCACCCCATTTTGTTGGTCCTCCTTGACTTTAGAAAGAGGTGAAAAGAACTGACAAGGGACAAAGCAAGATATAAGCCTCATGGTAGATACGAGAAACAGATACAAAGAACTGATGAAAGACAAAGCAGGAGTAAGCCTCAAGGGACATATGAGAAACAAATACTTCTCTTTGTTATAGTACCTGGTGCATTGAGATGAAAACCACCGAAATCCCTAACATAAAGTTTATGGTCAGAGTATGGCCAAACAACAAAGCAGATGCTATTCCCGTAAATATAGTCGCGACAGTTGACGAATATTTCTTCAAAATCGTATCTGGTAGCATAAAAGAAAGGCCCCGGTAAGTATTTAGCAATAAACATGAACAATTGACCTATGCCTCAATTTTAGTGATAATGGTAGATAAGTAGAACGTTAAAAACGCTACTAATCCAAAATAAAGGAAATAACATTTAATATCTCAGCTACATCCAAAATTATCTCACCAGCATATTTAAAGAAAAAGGAGGATAGAATTCCTTGTGCTGCATTGTTGCATATTAAAAGCATGGTAGCTTTTGAATGTCCTTCCAATATATCGAAGCTACTGGGTCCTGAAACATTTTTATAATGAAAATTTCGTAAATCATCAGTTTAATCAGTGCGGAAAGTACTGACCCACAATTCAAGATTCTTCTGATGGCAATAAAATAGAAACAAATCTTGTAAACATGAATTGTACTAGAATCAAACTGCTCGTTGTATTAAGAGAAGCTAAGCCTGGGAGAGCAGATTCAACCTTTAAAAATGACAGTTACAAGGATTCCAAGAAAGTTGAATATGGCACCGTATCCATACAAAAACAAGTTCTGCAAATCAGATAAATGAGTCAGATGCCATAAGGCAAAAATTACTCCAAGGATAACATTTGTTTACGGGATAATAAACAATTTGGTTTCTGTTCCGATTCGAACCAGTCCAAAATGAATTGCATCAAAATCCAAACTCTAAAATTAAATATTAAATTGCCCCCAGTTTTATTTTATTTATTTATTTATTTTTTTTAAATTACCTCTCAGTCTCCCCTTTCAATCCGATACATCACAACCAAATAATCATATTCAATTAATGTAAAAACCTCCACTACCACCATCATTGTTGCCTTCCAAAATGATCTTCAGACCACCACTGCAGCCAATGTACAAATACACAGATCTGACATATAATAGATCTATATATATGTACAAGAAAGTGGAACATCTAAGTCTCTGTGAGCTACTCCCAATTACCAATCCTACTGCATGATCTTGGTCAGTTGGCTGTTTCAACTACGGTGTCCTCTCTCCATTCTCGTGAATTCAAGACTTAAATCTCAAGTCTTCCATTTTTGTATCTTTCATTTTCTAAACTTAATCCCGAATATGAAGTCTCTATGGGCATTTACCCTAAAAAGGGTAATGATAATTTCTCTTTTTGAGTAACCATTAACAATTTTGTGGACTCTTTCTTCTAGCTTCTATGCAATAGGAATGTAAATTTGAAGTCTTAATTGCCAAAGATGACAGCGGGGCAACGGTTCGGGGAAAAGGGGTGTTCTGTCTAATGTTGTTATTTAATTTTTTATTTGTTAAATATTAATTATTGACTGAGAAAATTAAAATAAAGGAAAGTTGAAAGCCAGACTGAACTGAATCATTGAAGTTGTTTTTCGGTTTGTTTGTGTTGAGAAAATGGAAACCCTGATACGAATAACACCAGACTGAACCACAAAATCGGATGCTCAATCTTATTTCCAGGTCATAGTCAAAGACAACTCAACAGCAGGATTATTCTCACAAAATATCATGGCATGACTTCAGAACCAGTAAAAATGTTACAGAAATAAGAGGTTACTGAAGCATTAAAAATATTGGTGTTGTTTTGACATGTAAAGCTAATGTTTCCCCATATTCAAAAATTCAGTCAGAAACAGAACAATTAAATGATATAACATAAAAGCTTGTCAATCTTTATCATGTTAATCACCTGAAGATAAATGCTAGTGTCATATTGACTTTTCATAGCATATTCATTGAACACTGAGGCCATGGAGGGAACGGTCACCTAGAGCAGATGTTTAAAAATGAGTGTACGCAGTAAAGAAATAATCCACGAAGAAAAAATAGGATAAAAACTAAATGAATAAAATCAAATGTATTCATACTGATCAATCCAGCATTTCACCAAATGCAATCAATAGTAGATATAGACAGCTTAAATCACTTACAAATATCAAAGTGTACATATATGCACCAGTTGTGACTGGAAGACCCAAAGCAGTGGTACCCTCAGGCAAGGACCGAAGTTGATTTATACTTATCCCTATGAGCAACAAAGCAAGAGCCTCCCACTGCAATGCAACACAAATCAGTACATAATATTTTTACAATTGATTTAGTATCAAACCACAACATACATATAGGAAGAGCAAGAGTAAATGTTGCCTTATTAGCTCATATAACAATAAGTTCATTTATAACGTTCTTACTTCATGTATATGCTGTGAATTAGTCTACCATTTATAATGTTCTTACTTCATGTATATGCTATGAATTAGTCTACCCTTACTTTATCTACACATGTAATCTTAACAATTTAGAAACTAGAAGTCTAGAACTAACCTGAATTATTGAAAATCGGCGTTTCATCACAATCTTCAGAAGTACAGCAATGACTAAAACCTGTATAATAAAAATGACAACATTAAAGTAATAATAGAACATGAAATGTGAGAGAGAAGAAAAAAACTATTAGCTTAGCGTGATTTTTAAGCTTATTTCTGTTACTCAAAATATGATGATATACTTTGTTCATGCTTAGGGCAGTCAGAAGACGTTGCTCACTGCTTGTTTAATGGGGGGTGGGGGGGAGATGTGGAAACAATTGTGTGGTAAGCAGCATTTGGGCCTAAGAAGGAAAAAGATTTGGAAGGAGTAGAATAAGTTGAAAGTAATAAAATACTTTTCTATCAATAAACGGGAATCCAATTCAATGAGTGTAAAAGAATCTGGTATGATCATTAATTTCCTGTTGGATCGTATCTTTTCTCCCATACTATATTGGCAGCTTAAGAATAAGGTCAAGCTATATTCTCCAGAAAAGACAAACAATACATGGGATGAAGTTGCACAAGATGAATACTTGCCATGATCCACAAAGGCTACTAAATATAAAGAAAGAAACGTGCATGATGACCAATTATTAATATTTTTCTAGCTAAAATAAAAAAGAATAGAATGGAAAAACTAAGGTAGCGGTTGGTTTGCATTTTCATTTTCAAAACGATTTTTAGTATTTCCCGAAAACAACCCGTTTTCCGCGTTTTGAGCGTTTTGGCAATTTATAATTGAAAACGCTCAAAATGGTAAAAAGTCGTTTTGCGTTTTCAGTTATAAATTTTAACTTGTTTTCGAAAATGCATTTTCGAAAACGACGAACCAAACGCATTTTCCGCGTTTTCGAAAACGGAAAACGGAAAATGGCCCGAAAACGGCAAACCAACCGCACCCTAAATATCCCGGAATAGCATTCTCATCATAGCTGATGATGCAATTTCAGTATTCAAAATTCCATTCAATTCAAATTAAAAAAAAAAAAAAAAAAAAAAAAAAAAAGTCAGTAGCCAAACAAGCTGCAAAGCAAGCAAAATACCTTAAGATTGCTCAACATTTTCACTGTTGCAGGGTTGAAATAAAGCTGAAATAAGAAAGATAAAGAGACTCAGGTGCAAGGAAAAATATGCAGTCCAGTGTGTCAAACAACAAAGCGTGCAAACATATAAATGGCAAGAGAGAAAAATTACCCAAAAAACTCCAGACATAAAGATGCAAGACAAACAAAGACTTTACAGTGTATTCAACAACGTTTATCTATCAAACATAGCTTTTGAGGTGTCAGTTTCCAAAAGTCTAGCTTGTTAAAGGTACAGTTGAAAAGAGTCGCCCTTGTTTGACAATCATTCTTTCAAAACTCTTTTTTTTTATCATATTCATTTTCAACCACACTTGCTCACAATAAAATATTCTTCACGTAAATCCAAAACTCTTTCCTACCTTTTAATCATGATTTTCCAAAAATTTACTATTCGAAAACTCATTCTTTCCAACGAAATAATAATAATAATAATAAAATCAATCTGTCAAACAGGGCTAAACCACAGTTTGTTACTTGCAAATCTAAGTCTCATGACAAGACAGGTTTGTTAATATGAAAAGTTGAAAGCTCCCAGAACTCCAGATGTCAAATCCTTGCTCTTCACATTGAAAAGTAGCAGCTTAATTGGCTGTTGAAGTTGGACTTGACCTCACAGGTCAAATTTTCTTTTATTCGTTTCACAATGCACAAATATTATTATAAGTCTTTGCACTACTTAAAGATTGAGAATTTGAGCAGAAAGAGTGCAAAAGATAGTTAAAATGGGATAAACAATTGGAAGTGCAATAGGATATGAATTATTTGGAGAAGGATAAAGATTTGGTGAAGACCGTTATACATAGATAAAACAGACAGAAGCTTACAGGAAACAAGAAAAGGAGGAAAAACACATGGCACGCAATTTCTTTTAACAAGGGGGAAGGATGACTAACGAAGAGACTTGGAGGAAACATATGAAAAGCTGGTCATCTAAAGAGAAGGGATGACGAAGAAAAATATTAATGCGTAATAAAATTGAGAAAAAAAAGAAAATTAAGCAGATATAGAGTTTTTTGACATATTCGGATGTGAGATTAAACGACCGACGAAACCAATCCAGTAAGCTAATGTATTCCTCCAGTATTTTGTTCAAAAGTATTGGGAATGTCCCTCTCAAAGTCAAGCCATGATTCCCATGAGATATTAATCGAATTAAAGATTCGTGCCAAGTTCATATTTCATTTTCACTCTAAAAATGAAATAGACTGGTAAAAAGGTAAGCCTTGGAGACAAAGAGAGCACTGAAATACAAATTATTATTTGCAAGATGACCTAGAATCTTATCCTCCTCGTTGAACACACTGGTGAGCTATCAAATCCACTAGTAACAATTTACTCAACTCATATAAGACATAATAAACTAAAACCTTAAGTCATTGCCAGTGTCATTTCTTTTCTATTATTGTATTGTGCAGGCAATCCATATTGCAGTCTCTTATCATGCTAAAGCAACCGTTATGATACAAATACAGAACACAAGTGCAGGAGTGTACTGAATTTTTCTTCTAGTTCACCCGTGAACACTGAAGAGCGTGGTAGAGATTGCAGACGGACCCAGCATTAGACTGTCTGGGCCCTAGCAACTATGTTTTGAAGGTCTACCAGAAAGTTACGAACAAAACTGTGTATCCAAATATAGACTCTCATGTAAAACAACTAATTAAACAAATTTTACCTGCATAATAAACTTCAGATAGTTATTAATAGCATAGAGAAATGCGGGAACGGCAAGGAGCACATTGCTGCGAGCTGCCTGCAGGGAATATATGGTATCAAATCATCAACATAAGATACCATTAGCCTGGAAAGAGTAAAAAGAAATATAAAAGCAATATATACTCAAAAGAAGATAAATTTAACATGAAAAAGAGGATCAGTTACAAAGAAACTTGGCTGTATTATTAGTTTGGTTACAGATTTATACAAGATTAATGATATAGTATGTACTAGGAATTAGGATTTGTTAAGAAAAGGCTCATGATCATTGGCATAGGTATTTTTAGATACCTTTATATATAAGGAATTTTGGTTTGAGGTAGAAGACATGGATTAATGCGTGTCTTAGGACCTCCCTTTTCAATCATTATTCGAAAGAGTTAACAGGATGATCTGCCGTGACCTTGACAGCTCACATTTGTGGTTGTCTTAGGGCGTCTAATGTAGAGAGCTAAGAATATCTCCAAGACTCTATTTATACAGAGCATCTTTAAATTTAAAGATTAAAATTTTTTATACACTCCAACAATACTCTCTATTTTTTACTTTTTATTTTGCTTTTTCCAATAAACATTCATTGATTTCTCCTTATCCTTTAGTCAATATTTTTTTTATATGTCAATGGTTAATCAATTCAAATATGATTTGAATAATTTAAGAAATAGGAATTGAAATCTATAACTTATTAAATGCATTCATTATAAAGCAAGAATAGAGAACATCTTTGTATTAAGAGTCTCTTGGAGAAGCTCAAAGGGGGCTACATTGTTGAAGAGGTTGGAGATAGGAAGGGAACGGGTGTTAAGTCTCACATTTACATTTTCCTGCTACGTTTTCTGAGACATCTTCAGAGGCTCATTTGCTTAGCCCCCTAAGAACATTGAAGATTTTCACTGTTACATCGGGCCTCAAGAAAAACATAAATAAGAGCATGGTAGTGGGAGTCAACATTGATCAATGTCTACAAATTTGGCATCTGGGATCGGTTGATCAGTTGGTTTGTAGCCTTTGAAATACTTGGAGACTCATTGGGACGTAATACTTTATCTTATGATTTATGGTCCTGGTGAACAAGTGTAAGTAAAAAAGCTTGGTGCTGAAAGAAATCTTTTGTCTATAGAGGATAAACTAACTCTTATTCAAGTTAGCATCCAAACTTAAGGGGAGAGAAGAAGAGAAAGGAGGGAGAAATAGAAGAAGAGGGCACGGTAGAACAAGGGAGGTAGAAAGGGGAGAAGAAATAGAGAGACGGAAGAGAAGTTGGGAAGAAAATATCAATCATATCAATTTATTTATTCATTTATTTTTTCCAATTACATAGCATAGACCCTTTTAAATAGGACTTAAACTAATTCTAAATGAAGTAGAAAAATACTCCAAATAAATTACTAGTTATGTTTCCTAAAATAAGCTTTAAAAATGTAAACTAAATATAATATTATCTATTCTAATACTCCATCATTTCTTCCCGACTGAGAGAATTTCTTCGACGAGATAGACTGCAACTTTTTTATCAAGGAGGCCGATCTTTTATCTTGACTAAATAATGATAGCATCCATATGTCAACAACTGAATCTGAAATACATATTCTCCAAAAATCACTGTTACAAAACCCATTTTCTAAAAAAAAAAGGGGGGGTCAAACAAGGGCTAAATTTGTTTACGTTGTAGATATATTAAATTATAATTCAAATTGATTTTTTGTTAGATATAATTTTTATTAGTTTATTAAATAATTTCAAATGTTACATTTGATAGAGTGAGCCTAAAATGCTATTCGGACGAGGTCAGTTTTATTATAGACGGATTGGGTTAGATTAAGTTATCCATATTTCAATTTGGATTAAAATAAGTCGGCCATGAAGAAATATGATGCTTCTGCACTATAATGCACCGACACGGATACGTATGTCCAACACGATAAGTGTCGGATAAGTTGACACGCAATTTTTCAAAAAAAGTACCGACACGACACCTCATCGATATGTTGATTAAATTCTTTAAAAATTTTCATTTATATCGTATAAATTTAAGTTTATACTTGATATTAATTTTTTTTTTTTTTATATCTTTTAAGTATGAGTACGTATGTGTTATTTAATAATAATTTCAAGTTAAAAATATCTAATATTTTTAATAAAAAAGAAAAATGCTTATGATAAAGTGTCCGAGGAGTGTGTCGGACACAGACACGCTACTTCAGTTGAAGTGTCTGTGCTACAGAGCTTTTGCATGATCATGAAAGCTCGTACGATCAAGAAAAACAAATTTTCTGTAAGATGATGGTAAAATTTAATGATGAATTGATAAACCGTAGTAAAATTAGTGGCTGAGATTTAGTAGATGGGAGTATCCCCCGTAGTAGCAAACGCTCATAGCCCCAATTCATTATTATAAGTTTGTTCTAGATTTATTGAAGGTTTTGGATAGGTTAACCATTGGAATCAATCAGTTTAAAGTGATCACTTCTAAATGTTTATAAGCTTAGTAAACTATCCCTGTATTTTAAACCATACCACTAAGCATTATTCTCACAAGCAAAGTTTGCACAACGACCACATTAACTATAGAAAATACCTCCTCTGTCCCCAATTTCACTACCACGCCACCATCACATCCCTCTTACTCACTTCCACATGAAATCCTCAATCCATCAAGGTGACATCAGTTTCATCTATTCGTGTCATACAGTCCAAGCACCATAATCTGTGACGATGAGTAAATTACAAAATATCAAGTTGTTTCAAGTTTAGAGCCTACTTTATCCACCCTAAGACGATTAATTTCAAAGGAAAAGCCTTCTAACCCATAGAAAGACGCCAAAAGTTTTGCCCTTACGCATAAAAGCTACTACTTGCTCTTTTTCTTTCAAAATGCCCCAATTTTTCTATCCAAGTCACCCAAGTGATAGAAAAATTTACTACTTTTAACATAACTTTCACAATCTCTCTCACACAAAACTCAATTAGCTTTTTGACGAATAATCCATGAATGAAACTAGCTTCAACAATACCCACAATTACACTGTTTAACATTACTTCTAACAGCAGATAAAACAGTAGATTTTTCAATTTTCATAATAGCCAAAAGATTCTTCAAGTGCCTTTACAAAGAATAGGGCATCATCCATGAATTGTACACGTGACATTGAAACTTTATTTTCTTCCCACTCAAACCCTTCTAATTTTGGTTATTCCTTGGACCAATCATCAAAAAAATCAATGACAAAGGCTAATAAGAAAGATGGTAAAGGATCATCTTGCCCTAGTCTTCTCCAGGCCGAAAAATTTGCTTCTTGCTCAACCATTTGTAAAGAGACAGCAAAAGAACCCAATACGGCACGAGGTTCATCGACCTTGGCCCCTATGTCTATTTTCTATAATAAAATATACTCAAACTGCACTGAAGTCCTTCTCAAAATAAATCTCAAAGACTAAGCCCTCCTTTATCAACACCTGTCCGTGTAATTAATATTCCCTTTCTTTGAGAAAACAAATTCTAAAGACAAGAATACTAATAAGCAAATCGAAAATTTGCATCTGCTGGGTATATCTCAGGAGAATGTCAGTCATCCAAGGTCAGTTTGTACATGAACTGCAGCATGTGGACATCTTCATAAAAATTACAAGGACAACAAAAGGAACCATTAATAGTAGAAACAAGAAAAGGAAATGGGGCGAGGATAGCCAAGAAACCAGAGCTTTCTGGGTAGGGCTTAAGTGGCATGAAATCAACAAGTTTGGCATAATAAAGATAATTAAGCTGAAAATAAAAAATATGTGCAGCAAAAGAAAACCTCAGAATTAAAATTCTAAAATAGCATATCAGATGAACCTGGACAAATGTGGAAATAGAAAGAAGCGGCTTTTCACCAACCTTCTGCCGCCTAGCCTGCCAGAATAAAAACCAAACTCAAAATATCACTAGACATAGATGTTAATGTGGTTGTGACCATGTCTCTCTCTCTCCATGTGCAATGGGAGCATTTGTGGAAGCAAATATATAAACCTAAACATATTATTTCTTATTCCTGAAATTATCACCATCAAGAAAGACTGGGTGACGATGAGAGAGAACACTTATAATTATAGCTGTATTTTAACACACATGGATTCTCAGGAATTTCTGGAAAAAAACACAAGTTTTTATATATACATATAAAGAAGACAATCTTGTTATATTGTTTTGATGTTGGGAATTGTCTTCCACCAACATCATGCGGAGGCAGATCCGACAGTAGAAAAAAGGATAGGAGAAGAAAGCAAGAAGCAAGCATATCCTAACTTCCTGCAAGTGAAGTGTGATAAATCTCTCTCTCCAGTTAAGTTGAAACTTTTAAGTGGCATACAGTCAATAATAAGAGACCTACTACATGTATCTTCACTCTTTTCTTTGTTTTATTTTTTCCCTTGTTGCTGCCCTTTAGAAGAGAAGGGGAGGGGAAAGCAACATTGAAATTGAGGAGAAAAAAGAATGGAAAGTAGCTGATAGGATTGACAAGGATGATATCGAAATCAAATATGTTAATCATTCTCTTGAAAATGCAGAAGATTTGTAGGTTTTTTCTAGTTCTAGAGTTAGATTATAATTTTGTCACGTAATTAGCAATTTGATGATTTATTATTTGCCACTTCATTAATATATTTTTGTTTGTTCGAAAGTTGAATTTTAATTTTGTTAACTTTTTATCAATATGGCTTATGATTTATTTCTAACATATTTCAATATTTTTTATGTCTTCTTGAATTATTTTATTGGTTCGTGTTAGAAGACACGTCTCAGACACAAAGGTAAAATGTCTATGTTGAACCTTTTTAAACATTGTAAATGAGCTATATAGATTTCATTCTATCTTAAGTGATTCTTTTGGTTCTATTTTTTTCAAATGCCTCTCATGCTCTATATTCAAAGGGAATTGTGATCTAATTCATTTTATTTCTTCACTGTAATTATATAAGTAGATGATATTTAGCATCTGTCTCAGTGCCTATCACACCCAAAAATCGATGACTGTTATGTGGGTCACCTTTTAATTTTTTAAACTAATGTCAAGCAGTATGTCCGACAGCTGGCGAGGGGCATTTCAGTAATTTGGCTATGCTTGTGGAGGATACAATTGACACATTGGATGAAAAGAATACATACCCTACTTTTCCTTCTTCAACGTTGACTTTGTGGGCTCTATTTTAATATTTCAAGTGTCAACATCAATTCCATCAAAATTTGATAGAAATCTCCAAAAAAGATGCACCAAATGGAGGCTTACAACATAAAGCTTTTCAACCTCAAGCAAATCGAGATATAAGTAAAAAATCTTTTAACAATATTAAACCTTAATTAGAATACTATTACTCTTCTATAATTACTAATTAATATAATACTAAAATAATTTTATGGGAATCACATATTTTTTATTTTGTGCAAGAAGATCTCTGACTGAGGATTTTGGCAAGCTAGTTACCCGATCTCTCATATATCCCTGTAAATTGGTTCTTGCACGTGTTTCTTAAATTTGCTTATAAAATCCAGACGCATCGACACAACAATAGAACTAAACAAACAGAAATTATAACATCCACTGTAACATGAAGGGATGAAGTACCTGGATCAGAAGCATTACAATTGCAAAAAGAACCTTCACAGCCTCAGTCAAAAAGTTAACACTAATAGGGCTAAACTTGAATTTTCCATCAACCTTTGACATAAAAACCAAGATAGGCTGGAAAAGAAAGAGATTGATCAAATAAGGCTTTGCAATCATAATCAGAAGAAATAGCCATAAGAGTACATTCACAGATACGTTACACATAATGAAAGATCTACAGTAAGTTTAGTGTGCTTTTTCTTCTTACTTACTCAAGGAACAGTCAGAACCTAATTGTTGAAACTGGGTGGAGTGTAAGTGAAGGAAAAAAATTTGGTAGTTAAATGGCCTACAGGTATCTTTAAGTAAAGAGTTAGATGGGGCAAAAATTGCAAGAACAAAACAAAGTACATTTTACAAATAGTACTACAATACCACATGTTTCTGCTGTAAATGAATCTGATATCAAGTGGCTAACATCACCAGTAATCACTAAGCCTTTTGTAAGAATTTTGTATCATCAATATTCAATCATGAATAGTCTTATTTCACAGTTTTTTGCCACACAGCCATGTGACAATCAGTATTTTATAATCAAAATTAGTGAGACAATTTTGACTGAAGCATGGACCTAAGCATTTTCACCATTTAAATTCTTTATCTTCCAATGTTCGACCCAATAATAAGTTCTCTACATGGATCCACTTCTTTTTTACCAGATGCAAAATAAAGTTAAGACTGAAAGTATCCAGAACTTTCTCCTCATTTCCATATTAAGAACTAGGATTGAATCAATATTCGTGCAGGAAGAATGGAATAGCTATCATTCACAAATACGAAAGTATAGAATAAGGTGAAAAACATAGTACAAAAACATAATAAGACAATTACCTGTAAACCAACCAGGACACAGTCACCCCCAACTAACAAGATGTTGAGAGCCCGTTGCTTTGATGATACCTTATCCCTGTGGCGATCATAAGCCCGTGAAACAGATTTTGTGGATGGAGAGACCAGCTTGGAATGACAGACACTGCACTCTATCATCCCGTTCTTCATCAGTTCAGAAATCCCAATAGTTACTCAGGCTATGCAAAATTTAACCTGTGCAAGCAAAAACAGAAACAGAATGAAGAACCCAGGTGATAGCATTTTCCATAACTAACCATTAGTAGCTCATTTATTAAAAAAACAAAAAAAATAGAATAATGCCAATTACAGTCGCTCACTGCGACAGTCGTCCTATATGGCATACACATGACAGGTGATTATTTTACGCATTAATAAATAAAAAAATTACCACATTAATGCATCAAATAATCACCTGCCATGTGTATACCGCGTAGGGTGACTACCGCAGTGAGCAAATAGCATTACTCAAAAAAGTATACAATATGACTCATGAGTTGATACAAAAATATCATGTGAACTTTGATGTTCTCAACAACCGGATAAATATAGCAACATTCTTTAAAGAAAATAATTCACAGATACAGTAATGGAAATACCCATTTTTGAATCGATTACAGTTAAACAGACTAAAATGCATTAGAACCACATCTTAGCAGAATAACAAATTCTAAAATTCTTCCACATTAAAACTATAAGTTTCAACGTAAATGGAACCTCTATTTTCCGGATCAAGTATTGAAACGATCAAAGCAAAATTCCATTGCAAAAAGATTAATTTATACACTACAGATCTAACGATATTGGTCTCTTGCTGAGATTCATGATAAAGAATGTGCACACATTTAAACAAGTAAAGACGCTGACCTGTGATATTGATTGTACGGATAGGCTGATTAACGTCGGCTGCCGACGTAGAATATTCCGTCCAGATCCAAATCAAACTCCGGTGACGGGAATTTAAGTACTGGGAAATCAGAAACGAATTGACCTTATAAATTATTCTGAGATGCGCAATTTATATACAAAGGGAGTGAGTCATGTTACATGAAATTGAATTGGTGTTGGGTGACTAATGAGTAGCTTATAAATTATTCAATTAATATTTCTATGTTAAATAATATTTTTAGGGTTAAATCTACGAATGGTCACTCAATTTTATACCGACCTTATTTGAGCTTCGTTCTCTTTGTAGGAATGAATTTTTGAATAAAAAGTTGATGAAAAATAGAGATGCGCAATTTATATACAAAGGGAGTGAGTCATGTTACATGAAATTGAATTGGTGTTGGGTGACTAATGAGTAGCTTATAAATTATTCAATTAATATTTCTATGTTAAATAATATTTTTAGGGTTAAATCTACGAATGGTCACTCAATTTTATACCGACCTTATTTGAGCTTCGTTCTCTTTGTAGGAATGAATTTTTGAATAAAAAGTTGATGAAAAATATGTGATTAAAAAATAAGGAAAAATTTTGAATTTGTGTGTAATATTATTTTATTGATGAATGTGTAATTGAAATGACATCAAAACATTGTTTAGAAATAAGTTTTTTTTTTTCAATTAATGGGACTCAAATAGGATTTTAGTGTCATCATGATCATCCAATTTCATACGAAATTTTACTATGATCATCCAATTTTATATAACATTTCATTATGGTCGTCCAACTTTTTTTTCACCATTTTCACTAATTTCAAGGGAAGTAAAATAGTAACTTTCCTTGTACATAATATAAATAAAATAGAAGTTATTTTTTAAAAAATAAAATAAAAACTTATTTAAAAAAACTTTGCTTATGAAAATAAAATAAAATAAAAAGTTATATAAAAAAACAATCCTTAAAAAAATTAAATAAAATAAAAATTTATTTGACAATAAACGTTTTTAAAATAAAATAAAACTTATTTTTAAAAAAATTATTTAGAAAAATAAAATAAAAACTTATTTTTTTTAAAAAAGGTTTTTAAAATAAAATTTTTTTATTGTTTTAAAAAATATTTTTATATATAATGAAAAGATACCATTTCACTCGTTTTAAAATTAGTACAGAAAAGTATGATGGTCATGATAAAACGTTATATGAAAATTGGGTGACTATGAAGAAATAAAATTAAATTAGATGGCCATGGTAATTCTAAATAAAGTTTGATATTCATAGTAAAACAAAATCAAATGATTGACTATGATGACACTAAATATAAAGTTTGGTGGTCATTGGTGAATTTAATCAAATATTCTTATATTTAAATTAAGGGGAAATTGTAGCAACAATCCCAAATCTTTGACTTTTTTATATACTTTACCTTAACATTCACTTTATGCCAATTGAAATCCAAATTCTAAACTTTACTTCACCTTAACATTTACCTCTGCAGACTTTACCTTAACATTTACTTTAATATGATAATTCTAAATTTGCCATTTTACCCCTTCTAATTTTGGCAAAATTGGTCAAAGTTAACCTTTTTTTTTTTGGTTAACTAATGGTCATATGAAAGACTTGGACTCTAACTGCTAATTTCTCAAAACTTTGGAACCTTCATTCCTACAAAGTGAAGGTTAAGGTAGGATTTGCAAAAAAATCAAAGTTTTGGGATTGCTGCTACAATTTTCCCTTAAATTAATTGTCCATAAATAGTATTCAAATGTGACAAATGTCCATTGACTAGTGAATTATAAATTGATTTCTTAATGTGTGAAATTAATTTGGGAATTTTCCATTTAAATTGTTTTTGTTATTTACTACTTACCTAGAATATTGTTGTTCATAAATATTGACATTATATTTAAGTAAAATATCAACATCAATTTTGACTAAAATAATATTTATCTATCGTCGATTTAAGTAAGATCGCATTTCTTAAAAAATTGTACACAAATGGATTTATTTATTTTTTTGAAAGTCTCTCCTATTAAGAGTGGGCACATTTTCTTGAAATCATTCAAATTGGATTAAATCTTTTTGATTCAATTTAGTCATATAAAAATAGCATTTTTTTTTTACTATTAATCGTAAAAATCAAATATTGTATTCTATTTCATTTGTAGCATACATTTTTCTCACTCGATGCCTCCTTTAGTCTAGCAAATTACCAAATCATCATTTTTAGTTCTTTTTTAACTACACATTCTTTTATATTTACTATTTTTATCTGCTTTTTAGTAACATAGAAGAACTGAATGTTGAGGCTTCAATTTTAGAAATACATACAGTGGTGGTAATCGAGAGTGGCGGTAGAGGGCAAGCAATAGTTGTTGGTCTCAATGTGAGAGTCAATGATAAATCGAAAAGGAGAGAAAATGAAAAATAAATTAGAATTTAGGTCTCCAAAATGAATTAGGTTTTCCAACGTCCACATTGAGAAATGAAAAATCAAAGTTACATGACCCTTTTTGTTCCGATTTTCAATTGAAATTTGAAATTTTGGTATGAATTGTGATTCCTTAATATATAT